GTCAATAAGTAGCAGGGAGACGGTGACAAGGGATAGAAAAGCGAGGGGAAGGAGGAGGGGGAGGAGGAGGAGGAGGAGGGGGAGGAGAATAGGAAGAGGAGATGGGGAAGGAGGTCGCTGCTAAAGGCGGCGCAGAATGTCTGCCTTCCGCGCAGGACTGGCGGATCCGAACTTTCTACTTCCCATTTAGGGCTGGCCAAAATCAACCCTCGCGGCCTCGAATTGTCCGCCCTTGCGGATTCGAATCTTCAGCCCGCGAAGTCCTTCCCAGCTTTTGCTTGCCCGGCTCTGGATTGACCCCCCGCCCCCCGCCCTGAACTGTCAGCCCGCGCCCCCCCCCCCCCCCCTGGGCCTCAGGAGCACCCAGGACTGTTCACTTTCCGTCTGCCTGCCCCGCCCCCCCCCCGCTATTGCGGTGGCGCTAAGGGCCAGCGAAACTATGTGTTTAATCGCCCGCCCCAGAAAGTTTGTTTTTACCGCTTGCTCCCATTAGTGGTTCCCCTCTGCGGCCGCCGCTCTGGCCCATGGGCGCGGTAGCGCGGCCGCCCTCCGTGCCCGTGTTCGTCTTGTGTCACTGTCGTGCTTCCCCCCTTGCTTCGTTTCATCGTTTCGCTTACGAGAGCATCCGCTTTCACATCCGTTGTCAGTCCCCTTCTCCGCCTCCTCCTCCTCCTCCTCCTCCTCCTCACTCTCCTCCTCCTCCTCTTCTTCCTCCTCCTCGTAGTCCTCCTCTTCGTCTTCCTCCTCCTCTTCATCCTCCTCCTCCTCCTCCTCCTTCTCCTCCTTCTCCTCCTGGTAAGGTGCTCTTGTCGGGGGCACTGGTGTGGGATATCGCCCCTCATATCGGTGCCGAACAAGTATATGATGGCTTGTCCCTTCCACCGAAGACATGTTTTGGGCCCCGTCCTATCCCAGCATGTCCTGTCCCATCCTATCCTCGTGTGCGTCGGCCCTGGAGGGGTGTGATCAAACTGATACCGGGCGACTCCTGGAACACCGTTCCAGAAGTCGCCGTCTGGTGGGGTACGCGGTATAAGCAGTGATGAAGGAACAGGCAGCAGAACGCGAGGGCCCATCTTCCTTCCCTTCCCATCCTCCTCCTCCTCCTCCTCCTCCTCCTCCTCCTCCTCTTCTCCTCCTCCTCCTCCTCCTCCTCCTCCTCCTAATGCATCCTTCCTGCTGCCCCTGTTACTGCTCCTTCTCTTCCGGGGACGGCCTTTTCGATGTCCGCTCGAGGGAGCCTTGAACGGCGACAACGGAATCATCGGCCACGCGGAGTGGCGGGTAGGGGGACAGGGGACGGCTTCTTGGAAGCACCCCTGCTTCTGAGAAGCCTATCCCTCCTCCCCCCCGCCCTCCCGTGTGTGCGCCGCTGGTCGGAGTTTTTGTTTGCGCTTAGACCCATGTGGCCCTTCCTCCTTACAGTGCCGTTTTTAATACATGACCCGCGTGCGGATCATGTATTCAAAATGAAGGGATTTTGTATTAAAAACAACGATGAGTTCATGCATGAATTTATCGGTAAATCATATATTTTTAAACATCCTATGTATTAAAGATTGCCCTGTACCCTCCTCGCCCTCCCCCCTCTCGGTCTTCCGCCTCCCCCTCATGAGGGGGCGACTCCCGTCCAGGTCCGGCCCCAGACGTGCTCCAGATCCGGCCCACGTCAGGCTCAGATCGGGGGGTGGCCCTCGGAGGCGTCTCGAGGGGACTTCGGGCATGGCTCTCGGAGGCGTCCCCTGAGATCCTGGCGTTGCTTTTTTTTTCCCAACGGGCGCTTTCGCTCAATGTCGGGGCCCGGGACCCTGACAGATCGATCCGGCTCGAAAAATGACACAGGAAGATTTGGTCTTGGGCTCCGGTCGTGATTTTCTGCGATGTTGCAATTTTGCGGCAACGTCGGATCTCAGGGCCTTGAGGGGACTCTCGGGGCCTCGTGGGGACGTGGTGGCCAACACCCCACAGGGATGACCCACCTTGGCACCTCTGGGGAGGCCTCTCGGAGGTCTCCTGGGGGTTACTGGCAGCCTCTTGGAAGCTTCTGGGGGCCAACTGCAGAGGGAGCGGGGCCTTCGATGTACCACCTCTGGGGCCCCTCTTCGGGCCCTCTCGGGAGCCCCTTGGGCCCGTTTGGGGGGCCCAAAGCTCGAGCGCGCGAGTTCGCCCGACTGAGTTGAAATCAGGCGGGGTATCAATGATTTGGGCTTG